TATTATATATTAATATATAAAAATTTAAAAAATTAATTAAAATTAATTAAATATAATAGAATTAAATTAAATAAAATCAAATTAAATCAAATTAAATTAAATCAAAGTGAATTGAATAGAATCAAATTAAATTAAATCAAATCAAATCAAATTAAATTGAATCAAATTGAATCAAATCAAATGGAATCAAATCAAATCAAATTGAATCAAATAGAATCAAATCAAATCAAATTGAATTGAATTAAATTGAATGGAATTGAATAGAATCGAATTTAATTGAATTTAATTAAATTAAATTGAATTAAATAGAATAGAATTAAATTGAATTGAATTAAATAGAATAGAATAGAATTGAATTAAATAAAATTGAATTGAATCGAATTGAATTAAATAGAATCGAATTGAATTGAATTAAATTAAATAGAATCGAATCGAATTGAATTGAATTAAATAGAATCGAATCGAATTGAATTGAATTAAATAGAATTGAATTAAATAGAATCGAATTGAATTGAATTGAATTAAATAGAATTGAATTGAATCGAATTGAATTAAATAGAATCAAATCGAATCGAATTAATTTTATTCGATTTGATTCGATTCCAATTCTATTTTAAATTTGAATCGAATTGAATCATTAGGATCTTTAGTAAGAGACCTTGAGGAGAAACACTGAACCGATACTAATGTTTTATGCAACATGGCTTCCCAATAGATATTGTATATAGGAGTTGTACTTTGTTTGGCATTTGTGTCCCTAGATTTGGTAGCTTATATCAACCAATCCCAATTGGAGTGTCTACTAGGAGATTAAAGAAAATCAGAAGCTTCATAGTATGGCCTATTAGTCCTTAAGGAGTGGCACTCCACTTGACTAAATATGACCTCTAGATTTGATAGCTCTAATCAACCAGCAGTCAAAGGACACATTGCACTATATATGTGGTGTAAATTATTTTGCTGTTGACTCAATTCCCAAAATTCTCAAAAATAATTGCGTCATGACTCAATTATTTATATGTTTTAATAGTGACTCAATTAATTGCGTCAAATAATTGCGTCAATTGCGTCAATTGCGTCAAGGATCTACAAATTTCAGCAACATGTATACATTGCACTATAGTGTTAATTTGGAGCATTTACTAGAAAAAGCATACATGGGCAACCTAATTGGGTCTCTCTGCTATATTAGCTGTGTAAGCAAAAAGATGTAATGTGATAGGTTAATTATATAGGTTGTCAATAGCTTCTATTGTCCTTATATAAGCTGGACTGATAGGTTAGGTAGTTTAAACTAGTGATAGAATTTTCAACTCCTAGATAGGTTCCTCCCAAAAATATATGATTTATTTTAAAAGGAACTAGTATATCTTTGGATACTAAAAGTAAATAGGCTAGCATTTAGCTATTACAATATAATAGGGGATGTTTAATATATAAAAATTGGAGTAATTCAATAAACACCATATCTAATGTCATTCTACTATAAAAAAAAAAAAGTTTCTTTCAGGAATCCTTTCAATTCAAGTCTTTCTCAATTAATTATATTTAGAATAGTATCCAGATTACTTTTGTTTAAAATGTGAACTTAGAATTGAGAATATAAAACATATATTTAAGTATATCAAGGCATATGAGCAATCTATTCAAATTATCAATACTATAAATAATACACTCTGTTTAAGCAAAAACAATATTTCAATTGATCACATTTGATAGGTAGTCTAATTGTTCTATAAAGTTATCAGCAAAATTTTTGTTATAACTAATATTAATATTTAGATAAAAATAGTCTCAAAAGTATTATCCTCTTTTACAATTTTATATGAAAACCAAGATATAATAAAGCAAATACTTTTCTCTCTATAGAAATAATTTAGAATTAGGATTTCCACTAATTTTATAAAAACTCTTCAACTAAGTCTTATAATTACTCTTATAAAAAAAATATTATAATATAATAATTATCTGATTAGTATTATAATAATTGCTAAAAGTTGTAAAATATATATGAGATTTACTTTTATCAAATAGATTTAATGATCACTTTTTTAATATTTGATATCTTTCTTATAGATCCCTGCTCAAGTCTTATTTCAATCCAATAATAAACCAGTCTGATAATATTTATTTTGAAAAGGCATTTAATAGTAAGGCCAGTTCAACAACTATAAACAATAAAACTATTTAGGTAATAAAAATCAATTATAAGTCTATCTTAAATATTTTTAAATATTATTTAGACAGATAAAAAATTAAATGATTAACTTAGCTATAGATAATAATAAAGGAATTTAATTTTTAATAAAGCAAGCAAAAATTCAGTAACTTTATTTATTATATAAAAGATTTTACTTTTAATATACTTTTTATTTTTTCTTAACTCTTGTTTAATAAAATAAAACAATTAGTAAAACATATTAGTAACATAGCAATAATGAGACTTTGATATTGTTAGCATGAAAAAGATAGTAAAGAAAATATAGAGAAAATATATAGAAAGTATAATTTGTATATCAGGTATGTAATAGTTATTCAGCATAACATTATCGAATAACTGAGGTATTTGGAAAATGCAATTTGATTAGCTGTATTCTGGGCTCCTAACGGAGCCCAGAATACAGCTAATCAAATCAGGCTTTCTAAATACCGTTAGCTACCTTTAGGTGGCATAGTTATTCAATGATGTATGCTGAATAACTGATTTATCAGGCTATTTTTTTTTATGATTCTTTTTCATTTCGAAACTTTTTTTTATCACAAAATATTTTTTTTTATAAAATATTTTTTCGTTGTTAAATACATTCTTTTAAAAAATTATGTCTAATAAAAATAATTATTTCAAACCATCCGAAGCTGAACTTAATAAAATAAAGAATAATTGAATTCCTCAAAATACCAAAAAATGTACAGAAAAATGAATTGGTATTATGAACAAATGGCAAAATCATGTTAATGTTGGTTACAATTACACTCTTGAATCTATTACCTCCAAATCACAACTCAAAAAAGAAGTGTGTGAATTTATTTATGGGGTCTGTAATTTAAAAGGCAATCACTATTCTCAAGCTTCTTTGAAAAATGCCATTTCATCTATTAGTCGATATCTCCGTGAAGTCAAATCTGATTGGAATTATAATTTACTTAATAAAAGTGATTTTCCAGATATTTTTGCTACTCTTGATGGAACATTGAAAGAAATAAAAAAATTAGGCATTGGTACAGCAAAACCTTATGATGGAATTACGAATAATGAACTCAAAGTTATCTTACATTACTCTGAAATGTCTTCCAACAATCCCAATGGTCTTCTTCGTCGAGTTTTTCTTTGGATTTGTCTTTTCTGCTGCTCTCGTGGTGGTGAACATCTTAATTTATTGGTTGAGCAATTTCAAGAAACAAAAAAAGGATTTGTATTTAGAAAATATTAACAAAAAAATGATCAAGGGGGCATTAACAGAAATCAACATACTTTTGAACTTCCATTTCCTGAAGATATTCCAGGTATAGCTGAATCAAATACAGATATTAAAAAATATATTGCGCAAAGACCTCAAAATTATAAAACCAAAAAATTCTATTTAAGTATTTCGCAAAATGCTTCAAGTTAGTAATTTTTTTTTTTTTTTTTTTTTTAAAAAAATTACTTACTTGATTTTATTTAGCAATTCATAAAGGTCAATGGTATAATGATAGACCATTAAATGATAAAAGAATTAATGGTCTTTTTAAAGAAATCTGTATAGTTTGTGGGCTTGATATTAGTGGACGAAATATCTCTAATCATTCAGGTCGAGATACATCTATTCAATCAATCTTTGATGCTGGAAATCAAGAAATCGAAGCTATGGCTATTTTAGGACATACCTCTTCTGCTGGAATTCGAAATTATCTAAAAATAAACAAAGATAAAAAAAATAAATTCTTGATTCTGTTATTCAACGTTTAATCGAAGTAAGTTTTTAATTAAATATTTATGTTAACTTATATATAATAAAAAAATTAATTAAAATATATTTAGGAACCTCAATAAGAAGAATCTACGTTGTTTGATTATGAACAAAATAATAATAATATTCAAAATAAAGAGAAGGTAATTTTTTTTTTAAATTTAAATAATTTAATTTTATAATTTTTAAATAAATTTATTTTATTTTTAGGAATTTTCGGGATTTTCTAAAGCATTGGATTTGTATAAAAAAAGACCATTGCAAGATAATAATGCAAATGTCTTTCAAAATAATCTAGAATCAAGAAAAAAACAAAAAAACAAATAATATACTGTAATTAATAAATATTATTATAAAAATTGTACTATTTATAATTAAATAAATATGCTGACATTATATTGCGTGATAGCTATTTGCTCTTTAAAAAAATAAATAAATATGTTGACATTTTATTAATTTGTAATTAAATTAATACACTCATATTGTATTTTATCAAATCATAATTTTATTTTAAAAAATTAAATGATATTTGATTTTAATATTTTTCTAAATACACATAATATTTGACATGTAATTAATTATAAAATGCCTGATAAAAAGTATATATCAGGTATAAAATGTATATCAGGTATAAAGTGTATATTGCAAATAAGTATATAAGTAACAAGGGTATAGGCAAAAAGGAGGAGTAATCAATATAGGTACTGTGCAACTTTCTCCTTACCCGTCCTATTCTGTTGTTGGACATTTGCCCCATTACACAACCTCAATACATTATATTCGTAGAATTGTTACATCTGTTACAACTCCCTTGTGACGCTAGATCTATTGGTAGATCTGTGTCATTATCTGACAACTCGGATCAAATTTACATGCCTCTTTTAAGAAGAAAACCCGCCCTATTGTTACACGGTGTGAGGCAAGCTCAAGCAACCAACTCGCCGGATTTTCATGCCAACAATATAATTTTTAATAATAATAATAATATGATGTTAAAATTTAATCAAATATTTGAAAATCAAAATAATTTTTTTGCTGAAACTGAAATACTCAAAT